TCCAAAAGTCGCAAATTATGATTAAGCACTGCATTTTGTTGAGACAGGTTAGCAATCGACATAAAGTGGCAAATGTTATCAAACACATATGATGATTTATTACCATCAAGACAGTTTACATATTCCGGGATATTAAAATCACCAGCAATAATCACCGGGTGTGAAAAATTTAAATTCATTTCTAGGTGCTCAAATAATTGGAGATAACTATTACATGTTAATCCTGGTGGAAGGTATACAGAAAGCAAAGTAATTTTTTGTTTACCAAATGAAATACTTGCGGCGAACAGTTCACATTCAGGTATAGGTGACACTAAATTTATAGAAGTACATGAGTATGTATCTTTCACGGCAATTAGAACACCTCCACCTCTAGTTGGCCTATCACTGCGAAATACTTGATAACCAGGAGGAAATAACCCACTGTCTGCTACTCCGTTGTGCAACCAGGTTTCTGTTAGTAGAATTATGTCAGTATCATTTAAACATACATTTAAATAAAAATCAGTAGTTTTTGTGTTAAGTCCACGGACATTTTGATATATACCTTTAAGAGTTTTGAAAGATTGACTGTGTTTGTCTGTAGGATTAATGGTTGTTTTTTGTCACGATTTTAGGAACACCATTATAATATTTAAGTGAAATGGTTTTTTTTCCCTTGTTGACCCTCTCTTTAAACTCTTTACGTGTCTTATACGCCACATCTTGTTGCATTTTTGTCAAATCCCGGTTAACATAGATGCCGTTCCTGGTTCGATATTTTGTAACAATTTCTCGGACAATAACCGATGAAGAGAGTGTCACTTTTATCAGTCGCGGTTTATTAGAGATCTTTCCTATTCTTAGAGTCTTCAATGTCTCAGTTTCACCAATGCCAGTAGCTGAAATTAAGTTGACTACTTTGTTGCGATCGTCAGCAGCCTTTATTTCATTGGATTCTTCTTGAGACTCCGGTAAATTACTAATTATGATGTTCTGAGACCGAAACTGCCTTTCTTCAACTTCTTCGAGAATTTTTCCATCCGAAAGGACGCATGGCCCATGGGATTTTTCATCTTTCAACAGTTCGATTTCTTGTCTCAATTTCTTGTTCTCTTCGACGAGGTCACCAACCACTTTTTTAACGTCCGCTAGCATCATGGTCAACGAATTGATTGTAGCGACTAGGTTTTTCACTGAATTTACATCTTCAATATCTGAAGTTTGGGCGGCACTACCAGAATCACAACATTTTTTCTTTTCCGCACAACTTAAGTGTGACCAAACCCCACAATCACCACAATAGATTTTCTTTCTTACAGCTGGATTATTGCATACCCAGCAGAGCACTTTATCAGCACCACCGTTCGCATCCGCCATCATAACTCTTAACTTGTAGAAATAGTATGTGATTTTGACACTTTGCAAAAGAAGATAAACTTTTAGAAGTATATATTTCCGAATGATATTGAGCTTTTCCTGGTTTTAAAAAGAAAATAGTTTTTTCAGTTGGAGTTCGAGCAGTGAGCAATAGGAGCAAATCTACATCTTCACCAACAACAATAATTGTATGTGTCGAATAAATTGCTCTATTGCTGTTTCAACAATCAATACATCAGCATCGTTATTGGCTTGTTTTACCAGTATATTTTCAGCAGTCAACTTTTCTTTCAACATTGAAATGAATCGAGTATTTGAAAGAAATTTCTGTTGACTGGTCGGAACTGTAATAAGTTCATCAAATAAAATATCAGAAGATGAAGATGTTGAGAGAACTCATGGTATTTTATTACAGCAGGTATAAGACCCTAGCCACGCACACAATATTGATTTTCTTATAGTTACAGCTAATGTATATATTTTATATTTTAAGTGCAAGTTACAATGACCGACAGAAAAATATTTTACCCTATACTATATAATGTTAAGTACAACTCTAGAGATGAATATACGTGGCGTACTCATGCATGTTATGACGATTACACCTGTTACAACGTTTTGCACCGCTATATCTCGGAAACGGTGGCTCGTAGGAAAAAAAGTATAAATACATTTTTTATAGATAATTTTATGATCTATAATTTTAGTCTGAAGTGTTTTTATGATAAAACTTACCGTTTTGCTGAAAATCGCGAAACTCTTTTTTTTTGACATTTGACCTTGAATAAAATGTTTTCCATACACGGGAATGATGGGGAACTTTCAGGTTTTGTTTATAATTGTATTTTGAACAATTGTACCAAAATTCAGCTTGTTGCGAATTTATGTAATTTCACCCCAATTTTTTGGTCTAATTTGACCGGACTAGAGAAAAAATTTAAAATGCTGCTTTCTACATTGCCGTGTAATAATATTAATTTCAATTCGTTTGAAATTTTCAAGCCACACTTTAACTCGGAAGAATTAGCATCTTCCAAAATGAAAAACAGATAATTGCCTCGGGCTTAAATGAAGCGGTCCAATCTGACAAGGGAAGTTTTGTCAAAAAATTAGTCACATCAGCAATATTGGAAAACGTTCTCCAATATATTTCTTCAGAGACAATGCTGGTTGCGATTGCTGACTGTAGCATTTCGCATTCCAGCGTTTGTCGTTTTCTCTCTGGAGAAATTCTTTCTGAAGGAATTTTTTGAAAAGATGATCTTGAAGATAGGAAAATAGGTGTTACATTTAGAAATAAGAAAATATTAAGGAATAGAGAACGTTTGAGATTAGGTTGGTTCTAAGAGCAGAAAATGAATTTTTGGTTGTGGTACCTAGGTAAAAACAAAGTTTTATCGAAAACTCACCTTTTCTTTAACGAGGGCGGTCTAAGGGTACTGCCATTAACTGGCCTGTTTCCCCACTATAAACTTCTTCACTTTTTTCTGTACTTCTGTAACTGATGACGTGTTCGCCATCCCAGTATTCCTGAGTCAACATTGCACCGATCTCGAAATCACTAGCGTCCGTTTGGACGACGAATGGTCCCGAAAAGTGTGGACAATACAACACGAGGGCCGAAACTAACCTTTCCTTAATGACACGAAAAGTCTCTTCTTGCTCGGAACCCCAAACGAATGTTTGTTTCTTACATAGAAGGCTAGACAAAGGTGCCGCGATTGTCGAAAAACTAAAGGCTTTTTTTCGCGACTAACCGTGTTGTAGAATAGCGGTTACGAAGTGTTATACCCCCACTCTTCGTATGACGTCAGTTTAGAACACGGTTACTGAGTCTCCGCAAAAATGTTGTACGTAAGCTCATATAGGGGGGAAAAAATTGACATTTTATTTTCTTCAACAAAAGTGGTAATGTAATCAACAAATCAGCAAGGATTTATGTCAGACAAAAAAAAATTCACGTAAGTACATACATAAAGATGGATATTGCTTTAGTTGATGAATGAAGTACTTTTTGTAGATTTGATATAAAATAATGGCGTTAATCCCGTACATGAATAATGTGGATCTGTTTGTATTAATCGATTTAGTTTTCTCCGATGCTTCGATTGTAGTTAATTATGAACAGCTACTTGGACGTAAGAGAAAGCAGATATTTTGGAAGATTAGGGAAAAACATATACGACAAACAGTTGATCATTCTGTTTGGTTAGAGGCATACAACGACAGAACATTTTATGAATTATTTAGGATGCAAAGGACAACATTTCGAAAATTCGTTGATGTTCTTATTGCACAAGATACGAATAATTTAATTAGAAAGAAATACAGAGGTGGTAACTACCCTGTTGCCCCAGAGAAAAGTGTACTTGTTTTTTTATGGTTTTTATCAAGACAAGACACACTGTTGTCAATTGCTGATCACTTTGATTTGGTACCTTCCACTGTAATGAATATTGTTAATATTTAGTTTGCAATACCTAACATTACAGTTAAAAAAGAAGTACATATTTTGACCAAAAACTGAAGATGAATATCGTGCAATTAAGGATGGATTTAAAGGATATCCTAGTAAATAATTAAATCTGAAAGAAATGTAAGTAAAAAGTCTCACGTTTATGTAATATTTTAAATGTGATTGGTGCAGTCGACGGAACACATATTAAACTGAAGGTACCAGCAAACCAACATGATAGTTATATTGACAGACACCAAACATATTCCATCAATTTAATGGGAATATGCAATGCTGAAAACTTATTTACATATGTTTTTGTTGGTTATCCAGGGTCAGCACATGATTCAAGAGTAAGAATTAAATACAAGAAGTTAAAATGTAATGGCCATTCATTTATTTTGTAGGTGTTTTCAAATAGTGCACTGGTGAGACATATTGAAACATGAAAAACATATATATTTTCCCAATGAAGAGGATCATTTAATAGGAGACAGCGCTTTTCCTTTGAGAACGTGGCTTATGACACCGTTTTCTAGGAGAAATAATTTAACCAGAAGGGAAAGACATCATAATTGGTGTTTAAGTTCGGATCGAGTTTGCATTGAACATACGTTTGGTATTCTCAAAGGGAGATGGGCTAGATTACAATACATAAATACATACTCAGTCAGTAAAGCTATTGAAATCGCCACAGTTGCATGTATTTTGCACAATTTTTGTTACCTGAATGGGGATGAGTAGCCGGCTGAAGAGGTAGAAATTCGTCCAGAAGAAGATCACGTAGAAGAAAACGACAGAGAAGCATTTCGGCGTGGAGAACATAAGAGAAATGATATAGCAAGGTATTTAATGAATAATGTTAATGAGAATAATATATAATATGATATATTAATGTAACTGAACAATAAAAATATATATATAAAAAAAAGTATATGTTCTTCATTTAACAAAAATACTAATATCTACTTTTCTAAACAAAATAAAATGAGAACATGTGAGGTCCACATCAGTTAGGGTGAGAACAGCTTCAGACAACTAGTCCGAGTCTGAATCTGAATTGTGCTTACGTTTTTTCTGACGGATTAAGCTATCAAATGTGTTTAGTAGCCTTTCTCGTTGTTCATTCTGCTGTTGTAATAAGTTTTCTAAACGGTTAAACTGCTCCCTCCTCTCTGTTCTGTCATCTTCATGTTGCGTTTGCATCAGATTAATTAATTGGACATTTGAAGTGGATGGCTTTCTAATCTTGTTCAATGAGAATCTATTTTTTATCATTTCTTTCTTTTCTTGATCACATGACGAAGGCGATTGTGGGGCTAATAGATCATCAGTTTCACTCTCTTGTACTGAACTACTACTACAGGCTTCTAGAGTGTCTTGTAAATTTTTGGGGTCACTTTTGTGTTTATTGCTCATGATACCATGCATTTCTGAAAAGAATGGCGGTGGTTCTTTTTTTTCTTCGCCAGTCCGTTTCATATGCGAGACATGTTTCATGTATTGCTTCTGGAGGTTGGAAAACTTCTGTCGTAGTTTCTCAACTGCATCACGTCCAGTGCCACACAAATCCCAATGCATACATCTCACGAGCAATTTTGCCCCATAATTGCGTTTTCACATGCTTTTTGTCATGAAATTCGTGGGCATATTTTTGGCGTAATTCCAGGAATATTTCTGTAGCCTTACTGTCTTTTACACTTGGCCTTTTTGTTGACCACACACTGATGACACCAGTATTACTATCTGAGTGTTGTGCATTTTGTTGTTCGCTAATAAGATGTTTTCTAACATAGTTTGAAGCTGCCTCTGGATCTAATTACAAAGATAATAATTATTATTGTTATGTTTTACAACATCAACACTCACCATTCAACAATACATTTGCAGTTTCCAATCTGACAAATGCTAAAAAATCCTCCCCCTCGTGATTTATCGAAATTTCAACCAACTTCTCTTCACCCATTATTGTCGGTAAAATCTTAAAACATGCATCATGTAACCTCACTTTTCATAACCGCTATTTTGTAACCCACCTCTTGAGCAGGGTTACTGAAATCATAACACGGTTCTAAACGATGACGGCTTTCTATGACATCACAACACCTTCCCCTCAATTACCGTATGTCGCAAAAACGGACCGGTTAAGTAACCGTTGTGACTTTCACTTCAACGCGAACTCGCGAAAAAAAGCTTTAGATATGAAACGCCGAAACCATGAGGCAACTCCTAAAAATTGTTGCACTTGTTTGACAGTACTGGGATTGGGGAATATTAATTATCGCCGATATTTTCTCTGGATCAACATGGAGTCTATCTCTGTCAACTACAAGCGAATTTTCCAATATAAAATCAATATAAAAATTGTGTTTAATGATCCTGATCAGTTCCTGATGACAATTTCGAACCCGTGTTCTTCAGTGGGGGTGATGGACTACTTGATGATGACGCTAGAGACGGGGGAGGAGCCGGGGGTGATGGACTAATCGATAATACTGCTAGGGACGGGGGAGGATCCCCAATCCCATCTGTGTTTTGAATAAATCTTCTAAATTGCTCCTTGTCCGTTCCAGAACCAAATGTTAACTTCATTATTTTGTGTCCGCAGTAAATACGAAATTGGGACACGATACCTGTATCTCGTAATAGCACGTCGTCCTTGTAATAGAATCCGTCAAAGAAGGCATACCTTGAGTTTATGCAAATTCCGGTTTGGAGTAAAGCTATCCACGCGTCTGCTATAACCCCTTCTTCTGTTTCGATAACGACATCTTTTAAGACACTCATATTTGATCGCCTTAATTTCACCATCTATTCGAAAAGACAATGACGTAATCAACATACTGCGACGATTATCACGAAAATAATATAATATGATTGACTGTCAAGAACTGTGACAAGAACGTAAGAAAATATAACCTTGCAATTTGCAAAAACTGTGCAGCATTAAAGTTTGGGTGGAAAATGGAGCCACTCAGCGTAATTAATTTATGTGAACAGTACTTTTTTGATGCTGATGAACTTCTGTTGTGTAACTGGATTCTCAATAAAACAAATGCCACAAATTTGTATATAAAATTACGTGAAACCTATTACAAAGGGCCGATTGAAGAAGATTGGTTAAGAAATTACCATGACATCATGTTTTTTCGGTTTTTTCGAATACAAAAGTCAACGTTTTTAAACTTATTAAATGTTGTTCTGGAAAATGACAACCATAAGTTAATGAGGAAAAAATATCACGGGGGTAATTTACCAATACCACCTGAGAAGGCTTTGCTTACGTTTTTAACATATATGGCAACCCAAGAAAGTTTATTGTCAATTGGGCAAAGATTTGGAATTCTTCCATCAACTGCAATGAATATAGTGAATGCTTTGCTTTATATTATGTTAAAAATAAAGAAAAAATACATATTTTGGCCTCGAACTGATGAAGAGGTAGAACATGTAATAAACGGTTTTACTCATTATCCAAGTAAATTTTTAAATTGTTTGATATTTCAAAATGATTCATGTTCATGTTTTTCTTTAGATGTTTTGGATGCTATTGATGGTAGCCAGATAGATATAAAAGTCGTGCCACATACTCAACATGACAGTTATGTTAATAGATATCTTAGACATTCCATTAATGCCATGGTGATATCTACTGCTGAAAAAATTTTGACTTACGTTTTTATTGGATTCCCAGGATCGGCACATGATTCCAGAGTAATTTATATTTTTGAAATTATGGAAGTTGAACCTCAAGTGTAACTTATAGGTCTTTTCGAACTCAACATTTGTCCAAAACATTGCAACACATGGTTCGCAGTTCTATTTTCCTAATGAAGAATGTCATATATTAGGAGATAGTGCATTTCCATTAAAAATGTGGATGATGACACCCTATAAGCGTAGACCAGCTTTAAATAGAATTGAAAGACAGCACAACTATCATTTGAGTGCTGATCGTGTTGTGGTCGAACATATTTTTGCCCGCATTAAAGGTCGATTTAGGAGAGTAATATTCATTAACACCTAGCAAAGCTATTGAAATAACCACTGCTGCATGCGTTTTACATAATTTTTGCTACATGAATAAAGATCAGTGGGAAGATGAGCTCTATGAAGATGTTAACGTACAAGAGTTCATTGCAGAAGACAATGATGAAGAAACTCGAAGAGCACAACTCAAAAGGAACCAAATGGCTAGAGAATTATTAAACAATGTATAATATATATTATAGAAAATAAGAAAAGATAGATTCAATATGTATTAAAAACAACAAAACATAAATTCTAACGAAGGAAATAACATTGTCTTTAAAATCGTTTCTGTTTTAATTTTCATCTTCACTGGAATCCATTTCGCGTTTTCGTTTTTTGGTCATTTTTTCTAGGATTGTCAGCATTCGGTCTCTCTGACGAGTTTGCTCTGTGAACAGCGTATGCATTGCTGCAAAATGCTGATTGCGATCCTGTGCTTATTGTTGTAAGTGTTTTGTTAAGAATTCTAGATATATTTGGTTGGATGTTTTTGGCTTAATACCATGCTTTACTTTCTTAAATCGATTTTTAATGCCTATCTTTTCCTGTAAACAAACAGTACATATTTAGAAAATCTGATGAATGAAGTTATACCTTTACTTGACTATCAGTGCTTGCCATGGTAGTACTGCTTGTACTTGGTGTGGGATCGTCATAAATGCTAGTACTGGAGTCTTCACCTTCAGTGTCCTGCAAAATACCATAACATATACAAGAATATTTAAGAGTTTCTCCAATGTGGTGCATTTTACTTGTAAATTTTGAGGATGACATTTATGTTTCTCCCCTAAAATCGCATCCAGCTCAAAATAAAATGGGGGGTTATTAATTCGTTCAGTGCCTGTTTTGCGCCTATGGTCTTTACACTTAATATAAGTTTTCTGCAAATTTGCGAATTTTTGTTTACATTTTTTTGCGTCCACATTAAACCCTGCTTCGCGCATTTCTTTGACAATTTGTTGCCATAAGGTTTCCTTATGAGTTTTTTTGTCATTAAAGTTGTCTTTTAATCTTAATCGAAGCTCCAACAATTTGCTGGTGGCAGTCATACATTTTACTGTGGGTCTGCTTTTGGTATACCAAACATTCGCAAGTTGTGTGTCGTCGTTTTCATTACTTGTAACATTTTCAATATCGTCGTCGTTTCCATTATTTGTAACATTTTCAATATGGTCTTCGATAAACGCATCGGCTCGTTCCTGATCTGGAAGAAGTGAAAACAAATAAACTAATCTTTAAATGAGATTTATAAAAAGTACCATTTAATAGAATCTGGGCAATATGTAATGGGACTACACACGAGTAGTCTTCTCCCTTACTATTTATAGAAATCTCCACCAAGTTCTCTTCTTCATTAGCTTCTGGTTCAACTATCATGTCTACAAAATGCAACTTGTGACATTAATTAGTGTTAAAACTTGTTTTAATAAGTTGACCTTCTGTTGACGAACACATTTTTTTTTCACAAATTAATATAAAATTGCACCATCAACACTCAATCAGTCTCAGAACGCAAATTAATTTATTAGGCGGCAAAGAAAATAACCTAACAAAACTTGAAACACATTAGACCCATTTGACATATCTACCTTTGGTTACCGCGAGATACATGCAACGTTAGGCCGTTAGTGCCAGTATGTTCATGGTAAGGTCGATATGACGTCACAACACCTTCTCCTCTGATACCTTTCCAAAGCGAAAATGTTTATGTTACACGTAATAAGATACCGTAACTTACTTAGTTAGTCGCGAAAATTCGCTTTACATATCCGAGGTATTTCAAACTTGTCAAGCAGAACCGACACTTATCCTTCCCTAAGCATGGCCGACTAGTATAAAGCAATAAAGATTATAGCCTGTCCAAAGGAATGCCAAAGGTACCATACGTGCTGCCATCTATTAATAATTCAAAAACGACAAAAGAATTGAAAGGCACAAAGGCGTTCATACCGAAACAAACCACCATTATATACACGTTTTGAAGTCCCATAATGTCAAGTCAAATTAAAATTTTGCTAAATTATTAAGGCCCGGTTGTATAAAAGCCTGTCAAGTTGGATGTCAGCTAACACACTGTCAACTTTAACAGCTTGTTAACATTGGATTATTTGTGACACCGTTGTATAAACAATTTGCGGACGCTAGTTAACTGACAAACCTTTGACAACGAGTTAACATAGGATCACGTTCGAATACTAGAAATTTTATCGTTTATTAATTGATGTTGGTACGAGTTCACGCGTTGTTGACGTTTTCTCTAACGTAACTTCAATTTTTGATTTTGTTGTGACTTGTATTGTGTGGTGTGGTAGTTTTTGGTGGGTAACATGCAAGATAAACCCATTATTGAACATAAAGGTACGTCATCTGTTACGACAAAAAGAACAGATCGTGGTAATGATTCTACCCATCAAAGATTTACGAATGTCAAGATTGTCCGATTGTCCCCGAAAACTTGCTGAAAAGATCCATTTCCCAGAAATCGTAATGTATGAAGAAGTTGCAGTTTTGCATAAATAAAGTGATTTCTTTTTAATGCGGGTTCTAGGTGATGCTGATGACAGATTAGATTGAGCAACTGGATCAAGGTGTTTTTCTTATCATCCACCTTTTCGTAAAATCCACATCATCATACAGCTTAAATGGATTCTTACGAATGAAAGTACGTCTTGGATGGCGCATTCTTACTGCTTGCAATCTAGTTTCTTCATTACTGTTTTCACTCATCGAAGACGAACTACATAGTGATATCTTCTAAGATTTGCATGAACAATTATAGTAAATACAACCATTACTACCCAATTACGTTTCCTTTATTTCAAAAACCTAAGAAATCTTGTCCTTGAAGCTTTATACAAACACGAAATCGAAACTTAATTGATGGCGGATGACTGATTAGCTGACAGAAAGTTAACTAAGGTTTGACATGATGTTAACTTTGACGATAGCTTTATACAACCCAAATCCAGAGTTAACACAGGTTTGACATATTGTTAGTTAACACGTTGTTAATCGATTGTCAACTGCTTTATACAACACTTGACATTAGCAAACGAATTTAACATTGGTTTAACAATTTGTTAAAGTTAACAAAGGCTTTATACAACCGGGCCTATGTGTAATTATTAATAGATGGCAACACGTATCGTACCTCTTGGACAGGCCATAATCTTTATACTAGTCGGCCATGCCCTAAGGTTAGACCTGCAGCTTACAGACGCTCGAAAAGTAATTGGAGAACTTCCATGTGTTTTTCGAAAGAAGGAGTTACAATAATAATATCATCTAAGTACTGAAAAACGTAAGGCTTAAGATCATGCCCCAAAACTGTGTCAATCAACTGCTGAAAAGTCGCTGGCGCATTAGAAATCCCAAAAGGCACACGCCGAAATTGGAACAACCCTCTGCCCGAGAAGGCTGTAAATTTTCGACTTTCTGTCACCACTGGAACCTGTCAGTAGGCCGACTTGATATCAAGGCTGCTCAGATACCGCGCATCTCGAAGCTTGTCCAAAATTCCCCAAATTAGCGGAAGTGGGTATGCGTTTTTTTCGTTACCCGATTTAAACGACGATAGTCGACACAACAACGACATGTTCCGTCCCTTAGGTATTAAGAGGATGGGAGAAGACCAAGCCGAAGACGAAGGTTCGACAATACCATCGCGTAACATCGGCCAAGGTCGCGATCAATAATTTCTTGCAACTTCGGTGAAATAGGAAAATTGCTTAATTTAATAGGCATTGTCTTGGATTCGAAGTCGATTCTATGTTCGACGCCTTTAACGCAACCAAGATCTGAAGCACTGGAAGAAAAATAAGTCTGAACCAAGGTGTCCATTTCGGCACGCTGCTCAGAAATAACCGAGAATTGGCTAGAAGTTTCAGTGCTATCAACACCGAGAACGGATGTATGAGAAAGCGAGAGCACGAAAAGCACGTCAAGAACGATAACGCGATTCTTCAAACGAAAATGTGCTTGGATTTTCCCTACTACCTCAAAATCTGACCCATCAGCAATTACACAACGAAGATTGGGATTCCGATCGACTTTAAAATTCAACAACTTTGGTCTTTGATTTTTTTCTATTTCTAATAATTAAGGCGTTTTCGAGGAACGCGCTTAGTGACTCACCCTATATTGTAGTTTAAAAAATTAATACTAGTAATGTAGAAGGGATTACTCCAAGCAAGTAACTTTGAGAAACTTATGTATTTATGTATGTACATGAATAATGAAATTATATGGACATATTGAACCAAAATGTTGGAAAAAAATAAGAATTTTTAAGGCACATAACTGTGAACAATCTTTTAGAAATGTTCAATGGTTCATGCTATAAACATAGACAAAAGGACCATTTTTTGAATCTTTATATCGATAACTAGGTAAGTATTTGTCGGCCAATAGACATTAAAAATATAGAATATGTTAATCAAAACATTATTATCATTCAGAATAGGGTACTTGCACTCAACTGCCAATTTTAATAAAAATTGGTGCAAGTGTTCCCTATGTAATATAGAACCTAAAGTCCTTAACAAAAGTTGAAAAAAAAAATTGTAAAAAATATCCAGAGTCTTAATTCTTGAGCTTTATTTTAAAGGCGGAACCTGGTCTCTGACGTCATAAGCCATAGTCCAATCATATCAGTGCTGAACATGGCAACATTGAAGAACTTGTTCTTCAATGACGCGTACATAACTTGAGGTTATGTACGTGTCATACATAACCTCTTATGATTGTATAACCTATTTTACGATGTCGGCTCTGCCAAAAAAGAGCGTTGGACAAAATAACGCGCGACTAAAAAAAACGCGACGAAAGAGCGCCGAGACAAAAAAAGCCCAGTAATTAAATAATATGGGAAAAAAAAACGTCAAGACAAAACAGCACGCGATTAAATAGCACTGGGACATTTTATTGCGCCATGAAATAGCGCAGCATTTTTAGCTTTGTAGTAGGTTTGTGCCAATCCAAAGTTTTTCTCATTGTGTCAAATTTTCAAACGCCCGTCATGGAATTTGCGAAATCACAAAAAGGTGGAAGAATATTGTTTTATGGTGCTTACCGCTACCGCACAGACAAAGAGAACATCCATTCCGTTTCTTGGAGGTGTTCTCAAGAAGGATGGAAAGGGAGATTGCTAGTGTCAGAAAATTCAAGTGAACCGACTTCAACAACTGCTCATAGTCACGGCTCAGATTCGGCGAAGAGAGAAGTCGGAAGAGTGAGGGAATTGGCAGAAACTTCCAAAACCAAGGCAGATAATTCAAACCTCCATCAGAGGTACTTTCGGAGAAGCCGCAGTCCTCTTACCGACATACGACTCGAGAAGCTCTGGTAAGAGGTGAAAATTTTCTGCTCTTAGACACAGACTTGGGAGATAACCAAAGAATTCTTGTTTTTGGCACCAGAACGAATTTGGACACATTAAAGGAGTTTCGCCACTGGGCGATCGACGGTACATTCAAGACTTCGCCTCCATTATTTCAATAATTATTTACCATGCACGTAATAATAGACGAAAAAGCGATTCCTGTGATATTCGGTCTATTGCCCAACAAGCAAGAACAAACTTACATGAAATTTTTCGAAAGCATACTGGAAGTAGAACCAAACTTGGGCCCAGAAACAGTTTTGGTGGACTTCGAAATAGCATCTTTGAGTGCAGTCAGAAGGTGTTTCGGGCAAGCAAGAACCGTCGGCGGTTTTTTCATCTAAGCCAAAATTTATGGCGAAAAATTCAGCAAACCCATCTAACGGAACAACAGCGAAGTCAGAATAGGATGTAAGATGTTGCTTGCTCTCGCATTTGTACCTGAAAGGGACGTGCAGTTTGCGTTGGAGATTATCGATGAACATTTTCCTCATGAACTGCTACCTTTAGTAGAATATTGGGAGAAAACTTACGTCGGAAAACGAATGCATAATTTGAGGTCTAGGTACGATATCAACATCTGGGATATGTTTGATCGAATGTTAACGGACCAAGGACGAACAACTAGTTAGAAGCTTGGCCCAACTCTTTCAAACACTCTTTGAATTGCCAACACCCTCAAATCTATAAGCTTATTAGACAGGGAACAAAGTGCATATGGCGAGGTACAGATCGGGAATAAGAGTTTGAGAATTGGCCAACTGAAAATATGTTCAGCTGAGAAAGCGGTTGAACCTATTGGTTTCGGAGTACTCATTTGCAAATGTTGAAAACTATTTGAAATCTGTGGCGTTAAACTTATCACTTTAATCGTTTATTGTTTGTTTAATTTTTGAATAGTCTGTTTCTAGTTCTGAAATAAAGTTGTGTGGTTTATTCATAACCGATCTATTTGGAGGCTATAGTATTACCGTTTTGAGACGTTTTATTGGGCTAGCAAAGGTAATTTTTAACATTTACGTCAATATTCATATTAATATTCACATCAGGACATCATTCTCGCTTGTCTACCCTTTTCTGACGTGTTCTATATGCCTAATAGTAATAAGACAATACATAATACAATTAATAGGTAACTATTAATTGTCGCAGATTATTTTGTCGCGTGCTAATTTGTCCTAGCGACCTTTGGACTCTAAATGATATTGTCCTACGCCATTTTTTACAGCGCTTTTTTGTCTCGGCGCTGTTTTGTCGCAGTTTTTTAATCGCGCGCTATTTGTCCAACGCTGTTTTTTGGCAGAGCCGCACTTGACAGTACAGCCGACCATAAATAGTCCCTATATTAATACGGAAACATCCTCGACTTGGCACCAATGTATGGCTTATGACGTCACGCCCAAAAGTGCGCGTGATTTAAATATTAATTTTTAATAATTTATTGCTACACTATG